CAGGTTTCTGTGTCTGACACACATTGTATATTTGTTGATATGTATGTTAATTAGGAGCAAGTTTTAATTTCATACAAATAAATTGTTTGACCGCACGACCGTCGGTACACTTGGGTTGGGGGACGCATGTTTATACACCGATCCACCTGGCTCTTATATCTAATAAGAATACTTTTTTTATAGAACGGGGGCAAATGGGCAGGAGGCTCACCTATGTTAAGTGGTAATGCCGCCCATGGACACTCTCAATGCCAGAGGGCTCTCGAGTGCGTTGCCGCCCTTATAAGAATTAATACTTTCTTTTCTTGAAGGACCCTAAGTCGAATTGGTTCGGAAATACTTCAGCGGGCAGCTGTTTCCACATAGTGGTGGTGCGCGGCAAAAACCTAAAAAACGCTCAGTTTTGGAACGACGGACGTTGTGGTGATACAGGTGGAATTTCGTATTCTGTCTCTTTTATTTTAATAGTACTCCTGTAGTACATGTCCTGATGGCGTGAGCGTGCGACTCTCATCTCTCGTTCTGGCTGTGCTTGGACACGGACTATTTTATGTGCGCATTTAGCACTCGCTGGTGAAGAAAAACAATGTAAGGAAACCGGTATGCCTTAGACCCAAAAATCTAAAGCATGTCATAATAGTCATAATATCTGATCACGCGTCTGCGTCTTAGGAAAAACAAATGCTCACGAAACTGATACATAAATTATAGCACCAAGGCTTATACAACCACCGGTTTTTTTAATGCTTGTATTTAAAAGAAAAATCAATGGTGCTACAACCTTTTTAGGTCTGGGCCTCAGATTTCTGTATCTATTTCATGATCATTTGTTAATTTAATAGGCAAGTAGGTGATCAGCCTACTGTGCATGACGCACGCCCTCGACTTTTTGGCTCTAAGGCAAGCCGGTTTTCTCACTATATTTTCCTTCACCGTTCGAGCGAATGTTAAATGTGAAATGCGCACATGAAACCGGGGAATCGAACCTACGACCTCAGGGTAAGAGTCGTACACTGCCACTAGGCCAACACTGCTCTTATGCTAATGCTTGTATTTAGGTTGGACAATAAATGATACTCTTGTGTTTGACTATCTTACAGAAGAAAAAACATCATAGATCCGGTCCATGATCCAGTTCACAATATATAGAAACTTTAAAAAACGACGAATCGAGATGATAGGAGAAAAATACCTTTATCACTGTTCAGCGCGTATCTACGTATATTAAACAATAATAGTCATACATGGTGAAGTATATACTCGGCAGGTTATGTTTCAAAATATATAGCTCATATTTAAAACCAAGTCTGTCTTCAATAGATAATATTTTTAGGATTATTTGCATTACTGATAACATACTAAACACTGTATTAGTTCGATTCATTCTAAAGGCACCAGTTGCTCCATGAATGGTTCATTCAATACTTAAGGGTGCATTGCGCAAGCGTCATATCGATCTGACGAGGGCAGGGCGAAGGGGGGCAGGGAGTCGGGGGCATGAGGTATTACAGGGAGGCGTGTTCTATACCGTACTACTTTGATTTTTATATAAATTAAAACTCACTTGTTGATGAGAGTAGCATCAATAATTGATGTACTTAAAGAATCAGTTTGACAGATGGTACTGAAATTAATTCAACAATTTTAGCTTAAATAAAAAAAAATATACTAAAATGCAGCTGACTTTTAACTAATAATATATGTGCTATTCGTATGATCTTGATAAAACTAACCCTGCAATTTTCCAATATTTTAGTCTATGTACAGCCTTGCGATTCTGTAACTCTGATTTGGCAATCTAAACTGATTTGGCATTCTAATAAGGAGGGAGCTTGTAGTTTATTGTTTATGAGAATGCCAAACCATAAAATGATTGCTTCACGACTGATTTGAGCGTGACCGCCGGTGTGAAAACCGCTGTGTGAGTTCGAAAAGTGTTAGGAGTTACAGAATCGCAGGGCAGCTTGCCAGCTAGTAGACTGTAATATGTATTTAAATAATTTTATATTTTGAAAAATATCAAAATCAAAAATCATTTATTCATATAGGTAACAAAATGTAGACTTATGATCGTCAAAAAATATATATGAAATGCTTCTAATTTTACACTTACTGCCAGTTCTCAAATCAAGAGCGTAGAACGGAAAAAATAGTGAATATAAAAATAAGTACGGGATAACTACACCAAGATACTTAAGATAACATACGGAGCCCTGCAGGTAGGATCAAAGGTTCAAGGTGGTGTGATTATCTCAAAGTTATCGGGCAGGCTCACCACGATAATTAGGGCTTGAAGGAGTCTTCACTTTGAGAGTAATAGAGAAATTATTCTAATTTGAGTTATTATTACTCAAACTTAAACTCAAAATAACTTTATTCTCATACACTTAACCAAATACACTAATGAACAGAATGATGTTACATTTATTCTAAATTTACATTTACCAGTTCGTAAGTCAAATGCGTAGAGTGAGCAAGAAGAACTGGCAAGAACCCTCCGCCACTCTTTTCAATCGCCAAGTTTTGAGTTATCCAAATTGTTTGAACGGGAGCAAATCAATTCCAAGGATTAGGATTTAAGAAATCGTCAAATTTATTAAAAGCTTTATTGATTAATTTACGTTTAACGAGAGTTTTGAATTTATGCAGTGATAATAATTCTCTAATTTTGCTGGAGAGTTTGTTGTAAAAACTAATACAATTTCTATATAATGAGTGTTTTGTCTTCTGGAGCCTTAGTTCTGTTTCGAGGAATATACTGGTGGTGGTGGTTATAAAACAATATCTTAAATACTTACTGCTTACAACTATTCGCACAGACAAAATATATGCGTAGAAGTTGCGCTGAATGCTGTATCCGACACTATATTGACATATTTACATATACGAGTATGTTTGCAGAGTGAATTCACAGTTGCGATACTGTGTATATTATGTATTTAATATTATTTACTTTATTACATTTTATTTTTCTCGACATTATCGTATTGGCATGTCTGTAAGGATAATGTATGTATTTCTGTAATAAATAAATAAATTATCCTTATGATCTGTTGGTGTATCGCGAACCTTCAGCTGTTAAAACTTAGACCAACCACGTGAGCCGGGACAGCAGTAAAATGATCGTAGAATCAATTTCTCTTCAGACTTGCCAAATATGTGTATATAGATTTAAATTATACTTTAGCATCCTTCTATAATTATTAATATTCAAACTTTTTAACTGTACAGTTGAGTAAACATAGTATTTATATATTAAATATTATATCATAAACAAAATATATTTAGTTTCTCAAATTGAGGTACCGTACGACACCGTTTGGTACAAAGTGGTACTTTCTATGTACGCATTTAGTAAAAAAATATAAATAGAACAAAAGCAGAAATCAAAGTGGAAGGTGCTTATTATATAAAAGAAACAACGAACTATTTTATATTCTCATTTAATTCCTAGAACTCATGAGGTAAACAACTCTAAACTAACCAATCGATTTAATCTCAAACTCATAAAAATATCCATAAATTTTGTACGTTTACAAATTCAATCTCATTTAATTATAATTAAATTAAGCTAAATATGAAATTAAATAAATGAGTATACACTTACATAAAGAGCGAAAGACGTGAAAAACGTAAAATAAAACAACATAACAATAACAACCAATAAAATTGCAGGAATCTGAGAAAATTATATATTAAATATATTTCGACCAGAATATGTGGTTTAATTAAAATAAAACTCACGCTAACGGGACAAATCAACCGTTGAAATCGTTAATTTATGAGTTTCAATTGAATTAAAACAATAAAAGTGATAGTCAATATCGGCATATAAATTAGGTACTTAAATACATAATACAAACAAAATTTCAATGTGTATCATGGGAGTATATTAATTGAGTGAGCGCAAAATTAAATTAATAGTAACTTGGAAGTGACTAAAGATATGGCACGGCCTTAGTGTAATTTAAGTAAAAAGTGAAAAGTGAGTGAATAGGAACAGAGACGGACTTACGCTAAAAGAATACTGTTTTAATCTAGGTTAAGTCTAGGAAACGTTTGGTCGGAGCCGGTTCAAACCAGATGCTAAAACTAAGGAATGGCCAGGATTCAGGAATGCAGGTGAAATTGTAACTAATACTGTTTAATTATTGTTTTTATTACACTAAATGAATATGGCATTACATGGCTACCTCATGGATCACAAATTAGCACTCTACATCCAATTTTATTCCAATAATGATAACAATTACTAACATATTTTTGTCATATATAATCTATTCTTATGTACAAAGTTTATAAAATTGTCATTTTTATCTCTTCTAAATATGATTTTTATATAATTTTTTGATTCGTATACCTAATGATAGTTTCTTGTATTACGTTAAAGATTCGAAAGTGTTTTAATAGTTTAAAGTCTACTATGTTTTATTCGTATAATACATATAAAAAACCTCTCTTTTGTCTCCCGAATTGAATTCTAAACGTAATTTAAGAAACTATCATAACAAGATCTTCGTATTGTCAAGATTTCACTCGAGGCACATCACGGTGTTTCTAACCCAATTTATTGCCATCAAATTTCTACGAGACCTACATTAATAATACTATTCGTAAAAATGTCTTTTCGGGATAATAAATATAAATATTCTATAACTATCAACTACAATTGGTCGGGTTTTAGGAAGTTCACACGCATACTCTGTTCACGTATAAAATGCTAATGTCGACTTTTCACTGTATCGTTCGAGTCTTTTAGTTCATTTTGGCACAGTTTCGGCCATTACAAAAAGTTCAGAAACTATTTTGCGACTAAGGCACGGTAGAGGGACTACGCAGTTGACATTTTTTGATAAATATTGACAATTTACATATCTATGCTACGTTCAAAACTTTTAAATACAATCATACAAATGAGTGATCACACTTAGTCCACACTTCTCAAGTGAATGCCACTAAAGTGACGTTACACTTAAAGTGAAATGTAATTTAAAGTCAGGTCAGTTGAGAGCACTTGTCGAGGGACCGAGGTTCGCTTCCTGGTGTTTGTACTTGTGTGACGTCATCTGGGAGAGACCGAGAACAGCAAATCCACACTGAAGACAATGGTAGTGGGTCTGCTTCTTGCTGTGAATGCATTGGGGTTCGTAGCCACAGCCTGAAAATAATAAAGTTATTTAAGAGATTTTCCTAGAAACACTTTTTCCGATACAAATCAAGGAAAGAATATCTGGGAGATAAATGTAAGTTAAAAAAAAAAGACGTGAAAAATAAACAGTGGCGCATCAACACTTGTAAGTATTGCCAAAGGTTTTTAAAATATAAAATTGATAATGGCATTGTAAAATACATTTGTTGCGTGTTGTTCCCACGAGAATGTAAGTGGATGCTCATATTTCACCATGCCTACTGCTGATAGAGGACAAATCTTTGTTTTTAATTTATTTTATTATTATTTATTACTTTAGATGTCATGTGGAACATGGTGTAATGGTTGCACCCCATTAGAAACGTTGTGTAAAACAAAAAACTTGGCGATTAAAAAGAGTGGCGGAATGTTTATTCCCGGCGACCGTATCAAGGAGTTCCGTAACCAAAATAAAAACATAACACACGATGACGTAATATAGGTGCGGTCAATACGAGTTAGACCGGGACGGAACGCATACTGTGTCTCACATCGGTCTGGAGTGATTGGTGACGTAGCGCAGGTGCGTTAGAGTGGGTCAGTACGTATACTGCGTATTTACATCTCTCTGATGAGATCGGTGACGTAGCGTAAGCGCGGTCGGTGCAGCCGGTACGCGTTAGATTGAGACAGAATATAGAGGCGTGTGAAACCTCGATTCGCTCACTTAATAAGACTGTTACTTACTTTTGCTCGGCGGGAACTTCTCGAAACCAGCGGCCTGGATGGAGTCCAGTTTCTGGTGTTGTCTTCGATGTGCGACCACCTTGTTTGTGTCGGTGCACGTGAAGTCGCATTTGAGGCAATGGAAGTGTGATGCCTTGTTTTGACCTGTCGTTGGAAAGCAAAAGTGTTTAGACGGGTTCTACTATTCGTATTGCAATTTTAGCACTGATGACGTGCTGAGAGCTATTTATTCAACAATAATTCATCAGACATTTTGCATAAGAAACCTTGAAAATCTAAGTTACCAAAAAAATATTATCCGTTTGCTTAACTAATTACTACTAAAACTGATATAAAAATAATAATTTATTTGCAAGAATATGGTACAACCTAAAGTTCGCATATTCTGCGAATTAATTTAATTAATAAAATTTTAGATAGAAGTTATACATTAACATTAAATTACGAATCAAATAACTATAGACAATTCTTATAGAACTTTATTTACACATAATAATTATATATATGATTAATATTATAAAAATAATATTAATTTTAATGTTTCACGTAAATTATAACATTCTCTCTCCTCGTGTGAAATTGGTAATTACTTAAATCTATTATGATATTACACTGGATTAATTTACAAAATGCATATTAATGTATTATCTATGTACTAAAATGATAATTACCAAAATTCGACGCGTGAGGGCACTCCGCTCTTTGACAGTAAACATTAGCGCGGTACTGCTGGAAGTCTCCGCCCATAAGAGTGTCCAATCTGTAAGAAATAAAGAAATTCACTCACTTGAAACAATTCCACCTTCTTTCCAATTACAACATGTTTATTCCATAATTTGTTCTTGAAAAAACTAAAATGTGAGAACTTTATAGGTCATCACAGAAACTTGGGTTCACACTTCTGTTTCCTTGCTCATTTGTCTTTATAGACAAGTATTCGCTCTTTTCACTATATTATTTTTGACATGACCATAACCAGATAGAAAATAGAAATGCCTACCTCTCGTGTCTTGCCGTGTGTTGAACGAATCTAGTTTTATCGCAGAACGAATATCCGCAGTCTTTTCTTGTGCAGTGGAAGTGGGTTTGATGCTCCCTGAAAATATGTATTCATTAATACTTTAAAATAGATTCTGTGAATCATTTTATTATTTCCTGTATATATACATATCTGTATATGATTTACTGATATTTTTAAGCTCAATAGGCTGCCTAACAACACTCGAGAACCGATGTCCGAATTATACGCTGATATCAACGTCTTTATAAAAGCTTACTTTTTTTTAATATCATTCCTCTCACGAATGTCACGGTATGTCGATAAATGGTCCCTATGGTAAACAATGACACAATTGATTAAAATCTGCTCAGTAGTTGCTGAGCTGTTTTGAGTGTATGTAACAAATAAAATAATGTATGTACCTGTAACCACACTGCTGATAAGCACAGTCCTCATTAAATCTGAATCTCAAGTAGCCCTCAGGAATGGGCTCATCTTTGAGCACGCGCATGTGAGGACCACGTGTGCCCGTACTGCGTCTCCTATTAATCACAAAACAAAATTAATTTTATTCATAAGACAATAACTTTTACTAAAATATTTTGGAAAAATATGGTTAAAAAAAGTATCTAAAAAATCAAATATGTAAACAAAAATCACTCACGATTTAGCAATGAGCTCCGCTTCCTTGTCCATTCCTGGAGGTAGACCGTGGGATTGGAGCAGACTCTGCTCCAGAAGCAGTTCCGGGGGGTACATCATCGTGGGGTAGAGAGGGAATGGAGAACCACTGAAATTTTATATTTAATTTTCTGTTAGCACAATTAAAATGAGTATCTAAAAAGTAAATCCTTATAGAACTTTTATTTATAATCATTCAAATTTGTAGTTTTAATTTTGCTAGAAAAGCGTTTCATTTTCAAAATTATTTTCTTGAGAAATGAGAAATATCTAGTGCAAGACAAGTTTTATGACATAATATTTAATATGAAGAAACTTAAGCTGAGTCCTAAGCCACAGTCATCTTAAGTTCTATAAGAAACAAATGCATAGTTCAAAGAAGCCTTTTGTCAAAAACTAAATTCTAAATAAAACTTACCCCTGAGAGAACAAGGCGAGTCCTGGAAGACCCAATGAGGCAGTGTACTGCTGCTGCATTTTAAGCTGTTCTTGAAGACTTCCTTTACGACCGCCTGAAAGGTATTGCTGGAGTAGGAGGCTTTGCACTGCTTGAACCTAAAGAGAAATAGCTTTATATTTCTACAAACTTTATTTTATTAACAAAAAATTTAATCATTCATATTATTTTAAATTCAAACATAAAGTTCTTTATAAAACTACTTCTTACCTGTTCAGCTGGGTTTGGAGGTCTCTGGATAGGAGACGGTGCTTGCGGGGCAGAGGAAGAAGTCGCTGTTGACGGTAAAATTGATATTTCTGGATACTCTCGCTCAAGGGTCTCCTGAAAATAGAAATCCACCATTATTTTAAAAATGTCTAAAATTTTTACTTTAAATTATTTTATTTTATTGTATTTAAAACAGTAAAATTAGCAACAAAAATAAAAAGAATCTCTCACCTTAGTAGCAGCCAATCCTATCGGTCCACCTTCGACATTGCTGTGCTTTTTCACCATGTGGCTGAACAAAAGCTTCAAATCGACGTATGCCTGCCCACAGTGGGGGCAATGGTAGTGAAGGTTCATCCCACCAGATTTATTCAACGGACAGGTCTGGTCATGGCAGGACGGCGGTATTGTCGGAACTGGCTTGTCCGGCTTCCTTTCCTTCGATGGGGAAGCGTCATAGATACTGCGTGGAGAAGAAGTGTTGCTCCGGAGGTGGGACGATGGATAGAAGGTTCCTGTCGCTTTTACTACTGGAAACAAATGGGGTAAAGAATTACTCTAATGTTAATATAAAGATTTAAACTTATGAAACATATTGAACGATAAATCACAATATTATGTCAAATTTGAAAGATGGATCTCAGAAAAACACGTACCAGAAACGTTATCCTGGTTATCAAACTCGTTCTTGATGACGAAATTTGGCATGAACTCCTCTTTAACTGAACCCACACTATCGGCTGACGCTCGTTCCTTAATCGAGTAGTCTTTGGCCTCTTCGAACTGCTTTTCATCTTCACACTTGATCGGCGTCCCTCTTCCGTGCTTGTGAGTAGCTAAGGCCGAGTATTGGGTCAAAATTGCTGGACAACCGTTTCCTTGGGCGCAGTGGAAGTGAGATCTCAACTGGTTTTTGAAGCAACTCTTCCCACCGCATTGTTCGAAAGAGGAGAAGTAGTCGAAGCCCTCTAGAAGCGGGGATACGGAGTGAGACTCTCGCATATGCGTTTCCATGGTAACGTGGGCTTCGGCCGTGTAGCTGCAGTTGATGCAGTGCATGTGCAGTCTAGTGTGACGTAAGGGGCAGCTGGCGTAGTACTGGCCACAGATATCTGGGCCGGTGAACACTTCGATGTGCTGGAAGCGAATACGCTGAAAAAAAATTTATTGTCAAATTAACTATTATAAAAATGTTCAATGCAATTTATCTAAATAATAGTAATTGTAAATTATATACAAAGATTACTTACTGGGAACTCTTCAACGGTAGTAATTACTGGAGATTGAATCGCTGGTGGCATTTGGTTGCTTTTGGGGAGCTTGAATGATGTAAATATGGCTTGGGGTGTCACCTGAAAATAGAAATGAAAAGTTATAACTCAGTATTTATTTCAAGTTTTAATTATTAAAACTTGAGGAATAATTAAAAGTATTACATTTATATTATCGGTCCAAACTTCCACGACTCGATTCTTAGGAGGTCTTCCTCTTTTCCTGCTGAACATCTCATCCAAAGAACTTGAAGGGTTAACGTGGTGTGACACCGGACTGGCTCCAAGGTTAAGTTGGGCTTGTAAGTTTGGCAGCTGAGGTCCGAGATTTGGGGCCATTTGGGCCAACTGTGCCAAATTTGGTGGAAGATTAGGAAGACTTGGCACTTGCAGTTGAGCTGCAACATTCGGGTGTAGCTGGGCAGATAATTGCGGAGTGAAGTTCGGTGCGAATCTCGCCGCCAAGTTGGGTGACATTGGGCTTAGAATGGCATGCTGCCGGTGATGTTCCAGGCGCCTGAATGGCTGGTCTTCAGATGATAAGATAACAGCTCCACAATTTTCCTGGAAATAAAATAAGGCATTACAATAAAAGTTCTCTGCAAGCCAGAGTAAGAGATCATCATTATCATTAATATTATCATTTATGACTTAATGCATCATAAATTATATTATGCGTGTTGTTCCCACGAGAATGTAAGTGCGTGTTCCTATTTCACCATGCCTCCTGCTGATAGAGGACAAATCTACGTTTTTAATTTATTTTATTATTATTAACTACTTAAGATGTCATGTGGAACATGGTGTAATGGTTGCAGCTCTTTACAAACATTATGTTAAACATAAAAACTTGGCGATAAAAAAAGAGTGGCGGAGAGTTTATTGCCAGTTTTTCTCTTGTAAAATTAGAACCATTTAATATAAGTATATTTCTGTTTTGACGTTACACTTATGAACATTGTGTTACCTATATGAATAAATGATTTTGAATTTTAACAAATAATTTAAAAGGAACATTTTGAAGCTGGTATACCAATATCATATTTTGATACTTACCCAGGTACAGTGGTAATGGGTTATATCCCGGATGTGTTGACATGCTGAATTGGAGCAAGGGTTATTCCGTGTGTAGGTCACGAAGTAGGCTTCTGTCACCTGGTTCTGTTGTTCATGCTCAAACATGTGCTTAACCATGGTATTGTGGCAGCTGAAACATTGGACAGATATTAAAGAAAACTCAAAGGATATACACTACTTAAATAATGTGCGAGTTTCTTCATTATTATCACCTGTGAGCCATCTTGCAACCTTCAGCCATGCAGTGATAATGCTTGTTAAGGGCGCTACACTTGCTGCACTTATCTTCTGCCTCTTTCCCACCGTTAAACGTATCAATATACTTTCGGGATAGCTCTTCTATTACTGCTGGATTCTGAAATTCAATATTATCTTGTTACCTTGAATACATTATGAAAATAACTTTAACTAGTCTGTACGCTATGGTTACTTCTGTACTCAAAGTCATCCGCTAAGTGGAGACGACGGTGATTTTTAAAGATTTAAATAGGATATCTGTCGAATCAATTAGAGCCCAAGACCTTCACTGCTCCTATACTTCCATAAATTACACGTTAACCCAAGCTGTTAATGATTAACTTTCGTAGGCGTGGTGGTTTTGGAACGTTTTCTGTTGCTATATTATTCTTCTGTTAAAGGATCTCTCAGAGTGGCTAAACATCGTTTGGTATACTTACATAACTATGAGGAAATTCATCCATTCCAGACATGTCATCGTCAATCTGCAAATTGGTTGTTGGCGAATACATGCTCAAATCAGCTCCTTGCTGCATAAGGGCACTTTGGATTACCGATGTAGGAAGACTGTGGATAAGATTTTTTTAAATTTATTAAATGTGTATTGTATGTAATAAAAATGTGTATTGTGTGTAATAAATTCAAACAGTGTGTCTCTGTTTTTGACGATCGATTTAACGCAAGATTTTTATTTGTCTTACATGTCAAGAGTTATTTTAATTTAAGTGTCACAAATTTTACTGTAACTTTTATAGGATTAATGGAATGTTGAAAAATATAAGCAAAATAGACATGTTGATACAGCGTTTTTATTATGTGAACATTTGTAGTAAAAGCACAGAAAAAGAGATTAATTAGTTCTGTAATCAAAGCCTAAACTATAAGGTCTTAACAGCTAAATAATACTACAATAAGACCAAGCATAAAGAGGTTAGAAATAAGAAATAATTACCCAAAATTCATCTCTTGTTCTTTCCTTTCATGCTTTCGCTTGTGCGTGAAGATCTGGCTGCTAGAATGCAGAACGTAGTTGCAGTGAGGCCGAATGCAGTGGATATGGTTGCAAGTACGACTGAAGCGGCACTCGCGGAACGGGCAAGCCTCATTCTTCATATATTTTTTGAAGCCGTCTTTTGATAGAGCCTCGTCTTTGATGTGGTACGTTTTATGTTTTTCTGAAAAGAATTATATGACGTTTGCTATAGGTGTATAAAAATGCTATAGGCCATCAAAAGACATCGTACAGTACGTCTGATACCCATGTTATATTATATAGAGTTATTGGCAGTTCGACGTGTTTCTGCTAGGAGATGATAGCTTCTTTCAAAATAACTCAAAAATTAGAATTGATAGTTAGTTTTAATAAATTTTTCGAACTTCCATTTCGAACTTCCAATAGTCACCAGAAAAACGTGGAATTACCAAAAACCTTGTATATATATTTAACAATTGTCATGTCTCAAAGTCAAAGTTTTAAATAAATATTCCTTTTAAAAATTTTCAGTTACTACTAAATTGTAACAAATCTGACTTTACTTTTTATGGATCTCAACTGTCACAATACTCCAATGGGATATGGAATGGAATAGACAGATACGTCTATATATTTATTTCTATCACCGGGATTTTATCGACAGGACCCAGAATAAAGACGATGAACATTTAGACGCAAGATTTTACGTGTTCACAGCACTTACCCATATCTGCCTTATTTTTGAAGGTATATGTGCAACCAGGCCTCCTGCAATGGAAGTGAGTGGTCCGTTGACCAGCGAAAATGCAATGTGGTGCTGCGCAGCTTTCCGTTGCTCGGAAGCGCTGGAAACCCTCTTGGAGGATAGCTGAGTCCTTGCGATGGTAATTGGCGTGCATCTGGACGTCAGACGTCGAAATATATACCTGGAACAGATATAAGACAATGCTTTGTGATGATGTCTAAGATTGGAAAGAACACTGTAAATCAGACACTGAATGTGACTCTAATAATGTTGTAAGACTGTATATACCTTATCACATCCATCCTGTATGCAATGGTAGTGGGTTTGGCTCCGATTGTGGGGACAGTCTGAGAAGCGCTCTGAGCAGTCATCCAAAGGAGAATACCGCATAAAGCCATGCGCAAGAGATTCGTCGCGTTTCTTGTGCCACTGTAAAATTAGATAAGCTTATTATAATATCTGTAATCATCCATCCACCCTTGTACATGAAAATTAATAAACTCGTATGGAGTGAATATATCTTTCTACTATATCGTTTGAGTATATTAGTGAAACCTAAACTTTAATTATTTTAGCTATAGTTTGTTCGAAGTTTTCTATCACATGTCTAAAATTAATAAGAGCAGTGATGGCCTAGTGGCTTCAGCGTGTGACTCTCATCCCTGAGTTTGTAGGTTCGATCCCCGGCTGTTGACCAATACATTTTCTTTCTATGTGCGCATTTTACATTCGCTCGAACGGTGAAGGAAAACATCACGCAACCTTGCTTTAGACCCCAAAAGTCGACGGCGTGTGTCAGGCACAACAGGCTGATCATCTACTTATTAAATTCTCTACCTATTAAATTGACAAATGATCATTAAATAGATACATAAATCTGAGGACTTGACCTAAAAAGGTTGTAGCGCTACTAATTTATTTTATTTTAAGTTTAATAAGTCTGGGTATATTACCTTAAAATGCCGGATCATCTCCTCCTTCTTGCAGAAGACTCTGGCTGTGCAATCCATGCAATGGAAGTGCTCCCGGTAGCCCAGGTCTTTGCAGTATGATGAGCCGCATTCTAGAGTTGAGCTATATCTATAAGAAATAAGTTTTGCTATGTTTACTAGAAGGAAAATTAATTTTAATAAACGAAGTTCTTCCAATCTACATATGGTTAAACTCTGCAGTGCGTTCTTGAATATATCAAAAGCTTTTTTAAATACTATATTTATTTATACCATATGCTTAGGTTCGGTGTCAAATTTGTACTTAAAGTAGTTTAGAGAAGAGAAACACAATATACAGTAGTTATGAAATTACCTTTTAACGTATCTAGAATAGTCCACGTTGGTTTGTAAAGAGCTTTTACGAGCCTGATCCAAATGATTTAACGCTGACAGCAAACCTGAAACAATAATGGCTTAAGTCAGAACATAAAAATCCCCAAAAACCTAATCTAATAGTAAACAGCTAAATCAATAATACTTATAAGTAAGAAAAAAAATTAAACAATCGAGGAACAATTGAAAGAACAATTCTTTAAAAATCATTCCCAGTAATTAAAGCACTCGGGTCAAAATAATTTGTAACAAAACTCCGACATCTCTCAAACGATTCTTCCAAAACTCATTCCTTTGTTTGAAACAGCCAAATCACGTTCATGCATCATATTCAAACGAACAATGTACTGTTTTCATCGTATACGAAATATTTAATAACTCGAGTATCAACTTTTGTCTATTTAAGACTTTTAGACACGAGCGGGTAAAACGTTCAATCTTTATACGTGGTTGTAGCCGCTCGATTATGTGTTTTTTTATAGAACGGGGGCAAACGGGCAGGAGGCTCGCTTGATGGTAAGTGATACCGCCGCCCATGGGCACTCTCAATGCCAGAGGGCTCGCGAGTGCGTTGCCGGACTTTTAAGAATTGGCACGCCCTTTTCTAGAAGGACCCTAAGTCGAATTGGTTCGACTATGGTGGTTTGTTAATTGGATATTAAACTTAAGTGATGAATTTTTAAATGTTCAGCAATCTATGAACACTTGATAGAACAATTCTTTAAAATCTACAAAACATAATTATTATCAATTGCATACGCTGTTAATTGAAAGGAAATAACGCAAAAGTCAATAAAATTTCAGTGTTTTAATATTTTTAACCACATGTAGTGTATGTCTTTTATAAAAAGTAAATCAATTTAATTTGACAGATATAATAACTGTAGTTAAAAACTAAAGAGTAGATAGATTTATTATCGGTACCGGAATTTTTATAATCGGTATTAATAAGTGCGTATTATTGAGTAATTAAGTTTAAATTGTGAAGGGTTATGCTTAGCGATAGAAAGTCTATGCGCGTTTAGCATTCTCGGTTCCTCTTCGTGTACAGAAAGCTTATATCGGCGTGTTCTAGTTCAAAAGAGCAACTCGTTCGTAACCGGCCCCTCCCCGTATCAAGTTTTTGAGTATCAAATAAATTATTATGGTAATTAATCAATGTTTTCTCCTAGTCACTCCGTAGAGTGATCGTACATTACATAACAAAAGTGTTTTTGTTGGAAAACTTTTTGTTACGATTGTACATTTTGATAAATACGCTTAAATTGCTTTTGTACAATTCTTTCCTGGATAATTATTCTTCTATATTGTTGATGTTGTTTTAACCGTTTTATATCGTGATTTTACTAAATTTACTAAATAAGGAAATTCTATTTTCCTTACATTTTTCTATTTGTAATAATATTCCTTAATGCTTATAGATCAGTTGATTAATATTATGAATGCATCAGGAACATTTCACGTAAAGAGTTTTCTCTACGATTTTCGCACAATCAGTTATAAAATCGTGAGCCATTAAAACAAGAACAAGTGATCTCTCTACTTCATTAATAATAAGCTCTCTAAATTCTCGCCTATTATTACATGAGCCAGGGCCGGATTTATGTATTTTAAGCCCGAATTGGCAATATATTTTACAATATTTTATTAATTCATTGCAAAACTGATTCTAGTACAAATTCGGCCGCCCGCATCTTTTTTTATAGGGTAACAGCAAGCCTACGGAACGCCCAAAAAAGGGCAGTCATCGCAGCCCATGGACAACAATTTTAATGGGTGCGTTGCTGGCCTTTAAGTTTTGTACTGTATCCTATTTATTTGTGTAGTAAGTGGGTCTATTTGTGTCTTAAGTATATGTTTAGCCGCATAATTTAGATTCTTCGATAACAAGTTTCGGCTCTCAATGAAAGCTCTATAATACTTTTCATTGTCATTAGACGTCCGAAATAAACGAGTTAAATGTTGTTGCTACAAGCTAGTGACCAAGGTTCAAAAATAATGATCTACTATGTATCTAGTCTTAGTTTGTGAGGCCATTTATAGTGTAGTTACATTTACATACAGTTTTTATACAAAAAAGGATTGTTTTGTGGGGTGGATATTTATTTACCACGCACGCACAAATGCTCGAGAATTCCCAACTAAATCGTCAATCCGGCCCTGTAGCCTTATGTAACGTAAAATTATCTGTCTGTATGTTAACATCTATTGTGTTATCCATAAGTATAGGTATTAATCCGCCTTAGAAAAGCGTTCTTTAAAAATTCGTGTTTCACAATACCCGTTCCTAACTTGTTATATGGAATACAATGAAATGGAATATTGTGACGCGAGTCTAATTGTTTAACCGATTGTGTGAGTGTAATGTGTTTATCATTGTTGCTTTCGTTACTTAGTGATCCTCGGTTCGCTTTCCGTCGAAACAATTTTTGACGTGACAACGTCTAATAAATTTAGGAACGCCGGCTGCACGCACAAAAAAAGAATCACTCAATGTCCCGTTACGCTCATTGTCCCGTTACGCTAATTGTACGCTTGCGCCTATCTATCTCTCTCCCACTCGAAGACTTAAGTATGCAATCATTTCATCAATGTTTTGTTATGACGTTGTCACGTTAAACTATCGTCCGTAAACCGACTTTACAGACAACCATTTTTTCAGCATCTCGCTTCTCTTATTAATGAATATTAGACAGCTAAGGGTAGGTTTTTTTAAATAATGTTATAATGATCTGGACAGACGATCGAAAAGAATCCCACCTGATGTTAAGTGAGATGTGGCCTAATGGAGGGCCAGGAGATGCCTGTTCAACCGCCGCTTGAACAGACCCATATGCGTCGTCATATTGCGTAGGGATGAATGGGGCAAGGAGTTCTACCTACCGAACAAAGTGGATAGATCACTAGTAGGGCAGGCACCTTACAGTGACACGACCTTCAGCTATGATGAATACGACTGTGAAGGCATATGAATTCCTTTACATGACTTAGAATATATGGATATCAAAAAGGGTTTATCAAGATTTAAAAGCATTAATAAAACTCAAGGAGGTGGTTAGACATATTTGCTCCGCCTATAGCTAAACGAAATTTACTATTACCTTAACCAGATAAGGTGGACCCCTGCCTTCAATAAGCGGTCTTAATAAACCAATCAATATCATGTATCAACTTAATATAGCTATTTTAAGATGAGCTTTATCGTGAAAGTAATAAGGGCGGTATTTATAAACGTTGAGGTGTATTTTTGTTCGTGGTTTGGTGTGTGTAAGTGCATTTACATTTTAGTATGGGGTGCGCGTGCGTTTGGATGATTTGGGATGTATATAAATACAAATATAAATTTGTATTTGAAATATATTTACTCCACTGGTTCTGTTACTCAAGAGATTTATTATATATGTGTTAGGATTGTAATGAAGCGTACCAATACATCGTTCCTGACCCAACTCCGCATACGGACTCGCCTGTCTACCAGTTGCCCGCAATTCTATCATATTTCGGCCACACAATGCGCAGAGGCGATGAGAACTTGACGAAACTGATCATCGTTAGCAACACAGAAGGCAAAAGATCACTTGACCGTTCACCAACCAGATGGACCGATCACGTGAAAGTGAAAGACTCATCGTCCTCTAATAATACCCTGTTATAAGAGAGGCCCTGGACAAAAACCGATGGAAACAGTTAGTCTCCTCCAGATGTTCCCTTGCTGTCCACGGCGCTCAGACATGATTGACACTGCCGATTAATGCTGGCTGTATTTCCTCGCTGTATTGCGATACTATCTACCAGATGACTTCTTAAATCTTTAATTAGAACCTACGCTGGCCCATACACAGAGCATTATTCTATTGACAAAGTCAACAATATATTTTCAAAACATGATCCAATTTGCAAAACCAAAAACCTGGTCACCCCAAACCAGAGATACTTGCAAGGAATAAATGTCAATTGAGATGGAAGACGTCGAGGCACGGATGCGAAGAATTGATGATGCAGTTATTGAACTCGGCAATAATCAGATTCTAGATGTTCCGATAAATATCTTTTGCATTTTGTGAACTGACGAAGGCATTTTGAGTCGAGTTTTTTTGGAAAAATATTAATTAAAAATACTGCATCATGTTAAGTATTTACCAAGTAAGGTATCGTAATAAAGCAGTGTTATGAGCGATACCAAGAGGATGTGCGTTCGAACCCCGGCTAAAAGTCAGTCGTCAAAGTACTATTTTTAATTTTTCATTCTTTAGTAACCCCATCAGTTAATAAGTCCAACAAACCTTGTGGTAAAGTTTTGAGTAAAAGTCTCAACCAACAGGTCACATGTTCAAACCCCAGCTGAATCAATTCTTTTTCTATATGTCATCGTACCGCACGTCAAAATTGACTCGTGTATTTTTAAACAAAATTACCTCTTAAGTGAAAAAACCCAAAATTGTATTTCGAAGATTCTAAAAACCACAAGAAAACGCCTTCACAAAAACAACAGAATGATCTAATCTTGAGACGGAAAAAACTAAATTACCTCAAAGTCTAATTTATAAAACAATGGATAACTATAATAAAATTGTACTATTGATGTCTGTACATCCACACTTTGGGATGGATCAATGTAGCCATTTTGATGATATTTTAATTGAATAGTATGTGATGATAGTTGAATTTATTGTACACTTTTTCGATTAAAACTCCAATTAGAATATTTGATTTATAAAAAAATATTTTTTTTTCTTCCTACTCGTAGAATCTATAGTATACTAGGTACTTAAAGATTAAATGCGTAAATAAGTTATAAATGCGTTGATTTTAAGTCTTTGAAAATGTTAAAATATATATTTGTGGTCCGCGATTTTATTAGCGTAATGAAAATATTTCGAACTTATATTTCTGATTAGCGCATTAAACCAAACAAAACATAATATTATTAGTATCAATATGAAATCGTATTATAATGGAGCAGAGCCGGGGTGACGGCTAGTTTTATAGAACAAAACAATGGTCCGACCATCAGATATAAATATGAGGTTTTCGGAAATGTGTTGCGGCTCATTCAAGCAAGACA